GCACCAACGCAGCCCCGCTAATTATACGGGCCGGTTGGCTCTAGGCGAGGTGTAGCGGCAGACGGGGCCGCGGTCGCCGCCACTCGGGCCGCCCGAGCGCCCGCCTAATAACAGGCCTGCAGCTACCGTGCAGTGTCATTATTTCATCTTCTGGCCCGCCGGCTTTCGATTCTAAAAAGAACAAAAAGAAAAAGAGACGATGCACCGGATATGACCTGACACATTACGCGCCCGAATTCATCCACGCTTTTCCTTATATCCAGAAGAAGAAAACCGCCGGCGCCCATTCACAAAAGTTTTGAGTGGATAATTTGCGCTTTCGCTTGATTTATTTGTCTCCCTCTTTTGCCGAGACACTTTCCTAGCAGGTGAATTCAGTTACCAAACCACTTCTCAAGAGTTGTGATGTATTTTGTATAGTGTAAAAAGAATTAATTACAAAAGTTTATCGGTATTTGAAAGGAAAAAGTTTATTTTTATTTTTTTTTTAATTTATTTCATTTTAAGTCCAGCCAATTTCTGAAGAAATTATCGACTGGTGCTTATCAGACTAATTGTTTCACTTAGAAGCTCTTAGTTCTTACACATTAGACTTTTAACAGTGCATTTTATTCTACATTATTAATTTTGCTTTAACATAATCCATATTTTCAATTACATTAAAATTAAATGAACTATCATTTATATGACAACATTGAAATAACTATTTCTCACTATTTCCATGGTATTGTTCATGTTTCCGATAAAATTTTCACACCTTCACAGTCAAATTTTAAGAATTTTTCAATATTTTGCATCAATGAAAAGTATCTTTTATTCAATTCTGATTTAAATAACCACTTTGAATACACCTAAAAAATAATATATAATAAGAGAACTTTATTTAAAAGAAAAATATGAAGGTATATGAATTAATATTTAGGATCTTTATTGTACACAAAAAAAAAACTAATTTAATTTTAACAAATAATAAAAAATGTAAAATTATATAATATGTAATATAAGCATAAATAATGAATGTAAAAATAAGAAGGAATTATTATATTGAGTTTTTATTTTACAATATATTAAAATATCAAAATAAGATCATTTAAATAGCTATAATGGTGCTTACAAAATAAACATTTTTTATGAATTTTTTCAATTTTTAGACACAATGTAATTTTTGCTCTCAAAACTGATGCATCATTTTTCTATTATTTTTATATACACATTCATAATATTTACTTTTTTTAATACAGCACAAAGTTATTAGGAAAAGAGTTTGTTTCTTTATTTTGTTACTTTTAATTTGGGGTGGAAATAACGTGTCATATGTGTTTGGAAGCGCTACTGATATTTCATCCCGCGCCGTCACCGCTTATGCCTCATTAGAGATCCGCCTCGAAATATACGGCATTAGTGGCGCCAGCCAGAATGGGAAGCGAGGCTGCAAATAATCCACGTGGTGCGGGCAAGGCAAGGGTGTGTGTGGAAAAATAATTTCCTTCCGCCCGGCCACGCCGCATTTCCATATTATCCCAGCGGCGGCGGCGGCGGCAACGGCTGCTCACGTGTTTGTGTGTTACAAACGCTCATGAGTGGATTTACATGGCCCGTATTTAGAATTCGGCGGTTCGCCTCTCCGATAATCTCTCCCTACACCACAAAAATGTACTCATTTTATATGCGGAGTTGGCCCTGGCACGAGATCTCGGCCATTATTCTCACATGGAGTCGTGTTCTTGCTTGCATTACATGTTAAAAATGCTGCCAGTGGCGCTTTTATTGATAACAAGCGGAAAATCTACTTTTTGGTGGATTTATTTTTTTGCTTGTATATCATGAAGATAGTGACATTTGGAAACACATCAAATTTTGTATTTGTGTTTGCAAGTTGCAATGGGCGATTGATTTAATATTGAAACTTGTAAACGGAACTGCAAATTTCATTCTCTGGATTAAATTTTCATTCTTACTGCAATTCTTGGAATTTAACTCTCCTTGAAAGTTTTTAAAATGATAATAATTTAATGCAATTATCAGAACAATTTAAGAAATAAATTATTAAATTCATCAAAATTTTTACAGAACATGATCAATCAATCTACCCACTAGTGGCTCATGTTACAGTCAACTTGGGAAAAATTTTGATCTTTTTTAGCGAAAAAAATCACCAAAGTTTTGAAAAAACCCAAACATATAATATGTATTAAAATATAAAATTATTGAAAGATAAACAGAACTAAAAAATTTTGCTTTTTTGACCCCTCATGATTATGGAAGAAATTTAACATCGTCAATTTGTTAATTACTCATGTCCTGTGTTTTTTCTTGGGTTTTCAATTTTTTTTACGCGTGTCCATGTTTGCAATGCGTACATCATATTCCAGTTTCCGTTTCAATTTTCCAAAAGAAATTACTCAAAATTTCCTGGAGCGTATATTTTTTTTGTCTACTGCGCAGCACTGAATATGAAATTCGAAGTTTTCTCTAAACGAGATTTCATATACATAATTTCAATGAAGGAATAATTGCAAGTCTGATATTTTGTTGTAATCATTCAATGTTAATTTTGGCACATTAAAAGAAATGAAATATGCTCGGTGGTCATTAACAGTGAAGGGCGAGGGAGATGAAAAATATCAGGCGGAGAATAACGATGAGATAATTTCCAAATCGATTTCATGCAGCAGCGCCCGAGCGTTTTCCAGCCTCGGATGGGCCGAGCGTTTATTTTATAATAATAGCCGATTACTGATGCTTGGCTGGTGGAGAGGAGCATCTTTCGAGCCAACATTCGAAGAGAGCTGCTGCTCTCGAAGGCTCAAATTATATAATATGATAAAACAGCGGCGGCGGCCACGAAAAGGAAGGGGAAAGAAAATTGCGGTATTACATAGTCATTTAGAAATTATACTCATTACATGGCGTCGACTTCTTTCCAAAGCTATAATATTCAAGAGAGGGTATATTAAAGCGGCGATTACATATAAAAAAGATATAATATAGAAAAATTATGTTAGAAGAAGGGATAATAGGAGGCAGAAAGCGATGATGTTGATGGGTTTGACGGACACAGTTCAGTTTGTGAAAAGCAAGCACTCGATCAGCACAATTTCCCTTTCAATACGCGCGCCCCGAATGTTGAAGTGATTCGCCGCTCGTTTTCTGCACCACACCCTGACCAAGATGTCATGCATGTCAACGAAACCGTCTCGGACCAAAATCGATGGCCGATCGGCGTTTGCATGCGGACTGGACATTAATCACGGCGATGCCGGCTGATTGTTTTCGACACTCGTCTATGACACTCGCCGCCGCGGCCGATCTTTCTCCCACTTACCTCCCGTGGAAGGGAGCAGGCCACCCGCGCTACACACCTGGCCTATACGCAGATAACTAGTATAAAATGAGGTACGTTTTGTCTCGCATTATTTTATCGTCAGACTGAGTCTTTGCCTTGCAGAGAAAAGAACAATGCTTATTACGTAAAGCAATTCCAATTCAAGCGTTATTTATTATTATTTTTATGTCATCATTTTCGTTATAAAAAAGGTTGTGGGAAATGAAGGATTTAGTTTTTAAATCTTCCATTGATTCCTTGGAGTCAAAAATCAGCTGTTTTAATGACCTTGAAATACGCTCGGAGCCCTGGACGATTCAGTTTGTGACACTTAAATTAGTTGTTTATTGATCTATTAATCACTGCCCACATGAAGCTTAAATTTATAGTTGACGACAATTTAAAAAAAAACATTCATTTTGTAATACTCTTCAATAAATTTTGCCATTAATAACTTAAAACAAATTAATATTTAATGCGCATAAAATAATTCATAAATGCGTCTCCGTCTCCATAATTAAAAGAAAACTATCAAATGCAAATAATTACATATTATATATTTTTGTAAAGATAGGAGTTCATTAGAATTAATTTGGAATTACTTTTAAAATTTGTGCAACTAAAATATCCACGAAATTTTTTTTTAAACAAATAATTTTTCATAAAACAAAATGTGAGCACAATTAATTTCCTATTAAATTTTCCAAATTTGATAGCTTTTCAAATTTTATTTTGGTGCCCTCAGTTTTGACATGACCTTTTCGTTTGACCTTCAGTTCCACCTTGCAGCATTGGTTTTTGTGTTCGTTTCACGGCACATATAAGGCTGCTCTCTTCAGTAATTAATCTCTCGTTCTCAGAAGCTGTTAGGAAACTTATGCGATTCTCAAACTTTCCCGGCAGTGATTAATGACAACCCTCGCCGCGCACAAACCACAGTACAAATATTTTGGCCCTGCCCATGCTAGCTTCTGCTGATTCCGCGCCTTAATATAGTTTTAAAGGCTTCCCAGAAAGTCGCACATACTCATAAATATACACGCCGCGTCGGAAATATGTATACATTTTCATATGTTAAAGAAAAAACTAGAGCCGCGCACAAAAGTGCTTGGCTGCTGCTGATGGCAAAGGGACTGCTGCTGGCTGGCCCGGCTGAGAACACACAGATTATTAATGACGAGTTACAACCCAGTAATTATAAGCTGTAGAGCTTCTGCTCGGGCCCCGTGTATACGAGAGTATGGCCAGAGGGCAACATGGCGGCGGCCACGCACTACCCGTCCCTGCCGTACACCCGAGCACTTTTGAAATATGGACAAACGGCAGCAGTGACTTTTCAAAACTCTTCTCCAGCTGCAGCCTTTTATTGTGTGTGTGTGATCTGGGCCATTATCTCTACATGTGCATCTCCCTTTGTCTTTTTGCGGCCGCGTGGGGCAGCAGGGCCCCTTATTAAGTCTGGCCTAATGATGCAGATAATGAACGCAGGTTGCACCTGAATTTGTGCAGTTCTTAACCAAAGCCAATAAAAGGAACAGCTGATTTGACTCTAGTATTTGTAAAATAAAGGCAAGGAAATTATTTTTAGGAAATTTTTTAATTTAATGCATGAAAAATTATTGAGAAATAAATTATATAATAAATAATGATAATAGTATAATTTGATATTATTGGGATGTCTATAGGTGAAAAATTAATTTGCAGTATTTTTTATTCCTTCACATTTATATGTGACAATATGAAATACTTATTATTATTATGTTTATTTTTATTTAAATAGACGCAAAAATAAAATAATTTGTCGTTTTTCAATGACGAAAAACATTTTATAGGAATCATTATGTATTTAAATTATGTTTTTCTATGTTAAGCATTCGGCAAAATGCCTTAATTTTGGTCTGAAGCTCTGGCAGAGCAACTTGAACTCAAGTTCAATCAGATAGTTGCCGCAGATGCCTGGATTTATTACAAATTTGGCAGTTTAAGGCTCCTGGGGAGCCGGCGCTCCTGGGGAGCCGGCGCTCCTGGGGAGCCGGCGCTCCTGAGGAGCCGGCGCTCCTGAGGAGCCGGCGCTCCTGGGGAGCCGGCGCTCCTGGGGAGCCGGCGCTCCTGAGGAGCCGGCGCTCCTGAGGAGCCGGCGCTCCTGGGGAGCCGGCGCTCCTGGGGAGCCGGCGCTCCTGGGGAGCCGGCGCTCCTGGGGAGCCGGCGCTCCTGGGGAGCCGGCGCTCCTGGGGAGCCGGCGCTCCTGGGGAGCCGGCCCTCCTGGGGAGCCGGCGCTCCTGGGGAGCCGGCGCTCCTGGGGAGCCGGCGCTCCTGGGGAGCCGGCGCTCCTGAGGAGCCGGCGCTCCTGGGGAGCCGGCGCTCCTGGGGAGCCGGCGCTCCTGGGGAGCCGGCGCTCCTGGGGAGCCGGCGCTCCTGGGGAGCCGGCGCTCCTGGGGAGCCGGCGCTCCTGGGGAGCCGGCGCTCCTGGGGAGCCGGCGCTCCTGGGGAGCCGGCGCTCCTGGGGAGCCGGCGCTCCAGAGGAGCCACGGCTCTCCAGAGGAGCCACGGCTCTCCTGAGGAGCCACGGCTCTCCTGAGGAGCCACGGCTCTCCTGAGGAGCCACGGCTCTCCTGAGGAGCCACGGCTCTCCTGAGGAGCCACGGCTCTCCTGAGGAGCCACGGCTCTCCTGAGGAGCCACGGCTCTCCTGAGGAGCCACGGCTCTCCTGAGGAGCCACGGCTCTCCTGAGGAGCCACGGCTCTCCTGAGGAGCCACGGCTCTCCTGAGGAGCCACGGCTCTCCTGAGGAGCCACGGCTCTCCTGAGGAGCCACGGCTCTCCTGAGGAGCCACGGCTCTCCTGAGGAGCCACGGCTCTCCTGAGGAGCCACGGCTCTCCTGAGGAGCCACGGCTCTCCTGAGGAGCCACGGCTCTCCTGAGGAGCCACGGCTCTCCTGAGGAGCCACGGCTCTCCTGAGGAGCCACGGCTCTCCTGAGGAGCCACGGCTCTCCTGAGGAGCCACGGCTCTCCTGAGGAGCCACGGCTCTCCTGAGGAGCCGGCGCTCCTGAGGAGCCGGCTCTCCAGAGGAGCCACGGCTCTCCAGAGGAGCCACGGCTCTCCAGAGGAGTTACGGCTCTCCAGAGGAGCCACGGCTCTCCAGAGGAGCCACGGCTCTCTCAAAGAGCAACGGCTCTTCCGAGGAGCCACGGCTCCCCTAAAGAGCCACTTGTAAATTTTTTCATCGATTTTTTTTATTGTGAAAAGTCTTAAACTTTAAATAAAATGTTAGATTTAATTGGTTTAAATTTTAAATAAAACTAAGTAACAGCTTTAGCAAAATAGATTTTGAATACTGTTGTATTTTCCTAAAAAGAAAAAAAAATCTTTCCTTTTCAATTAATTGAGCCAGGCCAGCAATTCACATGGGACAACTCTAGTCTGGAGGTGAACAAACCAAAAAACCGTTATGCCAACGTCATCGCCTACGATCACAGTCGCGTCGTCCTGCAGTCCGAGCACGGCGTTCCGGGCTCGGACTACATCAACGCCAACTTTTGCGACGGCTACCGGAAGCCAAACGCTTACATTGCGACGCAAGGACCTTTAGCGGATACGTTTGCCGCCTTCTGGAGGATGGTCTGGGAGACGAAGAGCTCCTCCATTGTGATGATGACGAGGCTGGAGGAGAGGGCGAGGATCAAGTGCGACCAGTACTGGCCCACCAGGGGCTCCGAAACCTACGGTCCCATCACAGTTGCGGTCAAGGATACCCAACATCTGGCCGCCTTCAGCATCAGAAGCTTTACTTTAACCAAGGTCAGTACAAATCTGCAACAACAAATTTGTATTAAATTTTGTAAAATCAAATTATATTTTTAAATTTGTCCATCTGTTATTTACTTAGTTAATATTTTTTTTAAATATTCTTGTTCTTCATTTGAAAATTATTCAGAAACGATAGTTTTATCTTTTTTTTTTAAATAAAATAGGTTTTTTTTTATATATTTTAAATGAGTTTTATACAAATTTTGTGATGAATTTTTTTTTAATTCATATCTGATTTATATGTTATATATTGTATAAATATTATTTGAAAATTATTTTTTTTATTAATAATTAAAACACTAAGCTAAAATACCAATCAAACTTACATGTTGCTTAAATTTTCTAAAAAAATTTATTTTTTTTCCTTTCTGTTTTTTATTAGATATTTTGAGAACATTTTTAAAATTTCATCAATATTTATTTTTTTACAAATTTCTGTTTTTAACTGTAAATAAATTAATAATAAAACACCAATTTAAAATATTTAAAAATGTATTCTTCGTCGGACCAGGTTGGCAGTTCCGAACGGAGAGAAGTGCGCCAGATGCAATTCACAGCATGGCCTGACCACGGAGTACCAGAACATCCGGCGCCTTTCTTGATTTTCCTCAAACGAGTCAAAGCCCTGAATTCGTCTGACGCGGGCCCCATCATCGTCCACTGCAGTGCCGGCGTCGGCAGGATGGGATGCTTCATCGTCATCGACTCCATGATCGAGAGAATGAAACACGAAAAGTCCATTGACATTTACGGGCACGTGACATGTCTCCGAGCTCAACGGAACTACATGGTCCAGGTTGGTTTTGAAAAATGTAAAATTTTTATGGACAAATTTCTTAATTTGCTTTTTTCCAGACTGAAGACCAGTATATTTTTATTCACGACGCTCTGCTTGAGCACTTCATTTGCGGCAACTCTGAAGTTCCCGCCCGAAGTCTGCACTCTCACTTGCAAAAACTGCTCATAGCTCCAATCGCACCTGATCAACCCACAGGAATGGAGCTTGAATTTAAGGTAAAAAAAAATGACTAAATCTAAGTTAATTTAAATTAAATTAATGTAATTTAACTAATTTAAGGACTAAAAAAATAAATTTTCAATGATGTGTGGAAGTTAAGAAAAGATTACAGACAAGAACTTTGATACATTTATTATTATGTCTATTATTTTCTTAATATTTCTTAAATTGATAAAATGAATTAACTAATAGTCTTGGAAATAAAGCTTAAATTTGATTTTAGGGGAAATTGATGAGGAAAAACAGTTTTAATAAATATTTAATATCTTTTATGTAATTTTTGAGGAAAATCTTAAAAAAAATGGAATGATTTAATAAAATAGTTTTTTATTGTGATAAATTATTTGAATGAAAGTGTTTTCATTTTTTATTTATTTTTTTATTTTTAGAAATTAAACAACTTGCTGGCGGACGGGACGCGTTTTGTGACTGCCAACATGATGTGCAACAAGCCCAAAAACAGGCTCGTCCACATTCTGCCTTACGAGGCCACCCGAGTGTGTCTGCAGCCGATCAGGGGCATGGAAGGCTCGGACTACATCAACGCCAGTTTCATCGACGGATACAAGTACCGCGCTGCGTACATTGCGACGCAAGGACCTCTGGCCCACACCTCTGAGGACCTTTGGCGCATGCTGTGGGAGCACAACTCGACCATCATCGTCATGCTCACCAAACTCAAGGAAATGGGCCTTGTACTTGTATCCGTCGATGAAACTGGCGTTGATGTAGTCCGAGCCTTCCATGCCCCTGATCGGCTGCAGACACACTCGGGTGGCCTCGTAAGGCAGAATGTGGACGAGCCTGTTTTTGGGCTTGTTGCACATCATGTTGGCAGTCACAAAACGCGTCCCGTCCGCCAGCAAGTTGTTTAATTTCTAAAAATAAAAAAATAAATAAAAAATGAAAACACTTTCATTCAAATAATTTATCACAATAATCACAATAAAAAACTATTTTATTAAATCATTCCATTTTTTTTAAGATTTTCCTCAAAAATTACATAAAAGATATTAAATATTTATTAAAACTGTTTTTCCTCATCAATTTCCCCTAAAATCAAATTTAAGCTTTATTTCCAAGACTATTAGTTAATTCATTTTATCAATTTAAGAAATATTAAGAAAATAATAGACATAATAATAAATGTATCAAAGTTCTTGTCTGTAATCTTTTCTTAACTTCCACACATCATTGAAAATTTATTTTTTTAGTCCTTAAATTAGTTAAATTACATTAATTTAATTTAAATTAACTTAGATTTAGTCATTTTTTTTTTACCTTAAATTCAAGCTCCATTCCTGTGGGTTGATCAGGTGCGATTGGAGCTATGAGCAGTTTTTGCAAGTGAGAGTGCAGACTTCGGGCGGGAACTTCAGAGTTGCCGCAAATGAAGTGCTCAAGCAGAGCGTCGTGAATAAAAATATACTGGTCTTCAGTCTGGAAAAAAGCAAATTAAGAAATTTGTCCATAAAAATTTTACATTTTTCAAAACCAACCTGGACCATGTAGTTCCGTTGAGCTCGGAGACATGTCACGTGCCCGTAAATGTCAATGGACTTTTCGTGTTTCATTCTCTCGATCATGGAGTCGATGACGATGAAGCATCCCATCCTGCCGACGCCGGCACTGCAGTGGACGATGATGGGGCCCGCGTCAGACGAATTCAGGGCTTTGACTCGTTTGAGGAAAATCAAGAAAGGCGCCGGATGTTCTGGTACTCCGTGGTCAGGCCATGCTGTGGATTGCATCTGGCGCACTTCTCTCCGTTCGGAACTGCCAACCTGGTCCGACGAAGAATACATTTTTAAATATTTTAAATTGGTGTTTTATTATTAATTTATTTACAGTTAAAAACAGAAATTTGTAAAAAAAAAAATATTGATGAAATTTTAAAAATGTTCTCAAAATATATAATAAAAAACAGAAAGGAAAAAAAACAAATTTTTTTAGAAAATTAAAGCAACATGTAAGTTTGTTTGGTATTTTAGCTTAGTGTTTTAATTATTAATAAAAAAATAATTTTCAAATAATATTTATACAATATATAACATATAAATCAGATATGAATTAAAAAAAAATTCATCACAAAATTTGTATAAAACTCATTTAAAATATATAAAAAAAACCTATTTTATTTCAAAAAAAAAGATAAAACTATCGTTTCTGAATAATTTTCAAATGAAGAACAAGAATATTTAAAAAAAATATTAACTAAGTAAATAACAGATGGAAAAATTTAAAAATATAATTTGATTTTACAAAATTTAATACAAATTTGTTGTTGCAGATTTGTACTGACCTTGGTTAAAGTAAAGCTTCTGATGCTGAAGGCGGCCAGATGTTGGGTATCCTTGACCGCAACTGTGATGGGACCGTAGGTTTCGGAGCCCCTGGTGGGCCAGTACTGGTCGCACTTGATCCTCGCCCTCTCCTCCAGCCTCGTCATCATCACAATGGAGGAGCTCTTCGTCTCCCAGACCATCCTCCAGAAGGCGGCAAACGTATCCGCTAAAGGTCCTTGCGTCGCAATGTAAGCGTTTGGCTTCCGGTAGCCGTCGCAAAAGTTGGCGTTGATGTAGTCCGAGCCCGGAACGCCGTGCTCGGACTGCAGGACGACGCGACTGTGATCGTAGGCGATGACGTTGGCATAACGGTTTTTTGGTTTGTTCACCTCCAGACTAGAGTTGTCCCATGTGAATTGCTGGCCTGGCTCAATTAATTGAAAAGGAAAGATTTTTTTTTCTTTTTAGGAAAATACAACAGTATTCAAAATTTATTTTGCTATAGCTGTTACTTAGTTTTATTTAAAATTTAAACCAATTAAATCTAACATTTTATTTAAAGTTTAAGACTTTTCACAATAAAAAAAATCGATGAAAAAATTTACAAGTGGCTCTTTAGGGGAGCTGTGGCTCCTCGGAAGAGCCGTTGCTCTTTGAGAGAGCCGTGGCTCCTCTGGAGAGCCGTGGCTCCTCTGGAGAGTCGTGGCTCCTCTGGAGAGCCGTGGCTCCTCTGGAGAGCCGTGGCTCCTCTGGAGAGCCGTGGCTCCTCTGGAGAGCCGTGGCTCCTCTGGAGAGCCGTGGCTCCTCTGGAGAGCCGTGGCTCCTCTGGAGCGCCGGCTCCTCAGGAGCGCCGGCTCCTCTGGAGCGCCGGCTCCCCAGGAGCGCCGGCTCCCCAGGAGCGCCGGCTCCCAGGAGCGCCGGCTCCCAGGAGCGACGGCTCCCAGGAGCGACGGCTCCCAGGAGCGACGGCTCCCAGGAGCGACGGCTCCCAGGAGCGACGGCTCCCAGGAGCGCCGGCTCCCAGGAGCGCCGGCTCCCAGGAGCGCCGGCTCCTCAGGAGCGCCGGCTCCTGAGGAGCGCCGGCTCCTCAGGAGCGCCGGCTCCCAGGAGCGCCGGCTCCCAGGAGCGCCGGCTCCCAGGAGCGCCGGCTCGCAGGAGCGCCGGCTCGCAGGAGCGCCGGCTCGCAGGAGCGCCGGCTCCCAGGAGCGCCGGCTCCCAGGAGCGCCGGCTCGCACGAGCGCCGGCTCGCACGAGCGCCGGCTCGCAGGAGCGCCGGCTCCCAGGAGCGCCGGCTCCCAGGAGCGCCGGCTCGCAGGAGCGCCGGCTCCCAGGAGCGCCGGCTCCTCAGGAGCGCCGGCTCCTCAGGAGCGCCGGCTCCTCAGGAGCGCAGGCTCCTCAGGAGCGCAGGCTCCTCAGGGGCTCCTCTTTTGCGTAACCAGTTCCTCTGCAGGTTTTGTCATAAACAAGAAACAATTTCAATGCGTTCGCTGGCGCGCCGCAAGAAGTGTGAATAATGCATAAAACAAAGAAAGCATAAATTATGAAACGTGCATGCCATAAAATATTATACTGCATACATTTTTATATGTGCAGCGCGGAACCAGCGAGGTGGGTGTGTCGCCGAGTTATTGCATCAACTCACGCTCCAGATAAAGGATCGCGGGCGCGTTCATAACGTGGGCTGTGATGTAATGAGTATCAGCGACACCAGATCGCGTTTTTTAAACAAAATGACTCATTAAAGTAATGGTTATGCGCTTTTATACAGCCACCATCATGTTGAAATTTTGTTTGTAATTCAATTTACACCAGGCACTTATTTGTTGGCGTCTGATTTCTGTGCTCACGTTAGGATTGTTTGGAAAAGTTGAAAATAATAATCTGATCAAATGAATTACTACATTTTAAAGCATAAAATTATTTCCTTTCAAAAATAAATTATTTGTAAAAAAAATATTCTCCTAAAGGTTAGTAGAAGCTATTAAGAATGAAATTATGGATCATGTTAACCAATTTAAAAATTAATATTTAAGTTACTTTCTTAATCCAAGAAAAAAAATACTTGATTCAATGAAAATTTTTGTGTCTCATTAAATTTATTTATTCCAAGAGTTGATAATAAACACAGCAAATAAAACTACAAATGGAAGCCAAAATCATAATTAATACTCAATTGGTCAGCTTGTCAGTCAAACCATCAACGATTCCCACAATGGGTTTATCAAAACAATATTATTGTGTATCGATAAAAAAATTCCCAGCATCTCTGACGCTGTCGCGTGTTAAATTATTTGCTTTGTTTACTCTGCTGGTGGTTGTTGTGTGTGCGACCGTTGTGAGTCAGCGCGAGAGCAAGTCTCATTCTCTCTGTTGAAGAGTAAAAAAGCCGAAGAATATAAAACGAAAATGGAAAGAGCTGCGAGATACATTTAGTTAGAGTCAGCAGGCTGGCGCCCAAGGCGGTGTGCGGCTGCATTTCTTGCGCTGTGTAATTATATGGCACGCAAAGGCGGCTCGCCGGAGCCAGCCACGAACGAAAACCAAAGATCTACGCGCGCACCAAACAAAGCCATGAGCTTGGCAAAAAAAAGCACGGACAAAAAGCCTGGGAAAGAATAACACGGCGCCCAGCAACTCCACCTTTTCCATCCGACACTTTTTTCGCCGGACGATGAGGCGCGCACGAAAGCAAGTGACAAAAAATAAAAATGTATATTTTATAATTTTAGAGACAAGCCAAAACAAATAAATATAATGCTGGGAGAAGGAAAGGGTGAACAGCAAGAGAGTGACTTACAATATTTTATTGGTCTCGCCGAGCATAGCATGCGGAGCTACTAGTTTTACTGCTGCTGGCCTATAATATAATTTCAGCCTCATGATATATAAAATGTGTAATTTTATAATCCAGTAGCAACGGCAGCCAGCAGTGACACGCATTCCTCGCCTTATAGATTTTACATATTTATTCGGCTACTGTGTTACTCGGGATGTTTTATTGCACCGCGCTGTTGTATAATTTCGCTGCTTGGATCAAAAGGCATCTGCTTGATATCACGTTTACTCCTTCGGGTGAATTCGCAGAATTAAAACTATTTTTGTTTATACATGATATAAAAAATTTAAAGTCATAGAAAATATTACATTAATTTAATATTCCTTGAAAAAAACTTACAAATTTTATTATAAATTGTTGTTTATTCGTCCACATTGTTACAAATACATTGTTTACATTCAATTATCGGAAAACAATTATTTAAGAAAAAGAGATTGTTGGACAAAAAGGCATCACCACCAGCAAAAATTTTGCAAAGATCAAAAAGACCCCAATCCGCCGCAATGAGCCTCGGTTAGTTATTAGTTAGGTATAATTAAAATCAATTTAATTAAATAATATTCTT